CTACATCGAAGGGAGGCTGACCTAAGATGGTCGTCCAAGGCTTGAGATTGATCGACAGGCTCCGAAGCTGGTTGAATTGCTGCCAGGTGAACCCTAGTGGAGTGGAGCCAAAGCGCACATCTTGCTCTGCAGGGGTAACCGGAAGCCGTGCAGGGGGTGAGATCACTGCCTCCAGGCGGAGGGGCAGTTTGGCTGTAGCTCCTCGATGGCCTTGGCGGACAGGGGGGAAGGCTTCAAGAAGTACTTCAAGGGTGGCTGCCGTCACAGCGAAGGCAGAACAGTCTGATGCAGCTGCGGCTTCCTCAAGCAGGGTCGGATGAGTGTCACGGGACCAACGACCAGACAGGTCGTCAAGGTTCGGACCTGGTCTCCCTGTAGAATCCTCGTCATCGGAGCTATCCCCGAGCTCGAGGATATAGGTTTGCGGCTGCAGCCTTTTGCCTCGACACGGAGTGGGGATGGCTCGTCGATCGGCACTGACGGTGGAAGTGCTTCCGGATGTGATGTGGCACACGCCCTCTATGGGGGCTGCTGTCCACACAGTGGATTTTGCGCTGGAGTCTGCGTCTGTGGAGAAAGGATTGCAATGTTGCGAATTTGGAAGGTCCACACGAATTTGGACCCCTCCCACCGGCTGGCAAAGTGCAAGCAGACACGAGATGAGGAGCAGACCTCCAAGGCGGGACTGCGCCGAGTGCGCGAGCACACAACTGACATGACGCCAGCACAGCATAAGACATTGCGCCACAACCAGGAGGCAAGGGGTGAGGAGAAGAGGCCCTGATGTAAGGGCATATTGAATGAAAGCTTCTCTACACATTGCAACTCGACTGGCATAGTCCATTGCCTCAACAGAAGAGTTTTCAACGCACTGGCCTTGTCCTGAACAGGTAGCCCAAGTAGCAAGGTCCCAGCACGACATTATGCTGGCCATTGCATCTATGGCATCACCGGTGGAGCCTGTCCCTGCATCACGCGAAGGTGCGGGGACAGCAGGCAAATCCTGGCTGGATGATCCTGGTCTGTCGGAGTCATTCGAGTCCGATCGTCCGTCGTCAGGCTCGGGGCCAGCTGCATCCACATCATCTTCGGCTGGCACAGGGTCAGCTTCACCAGAAACCGGCAGGAAGAGTACGACAAGGACCGTACCTTGGTCGACGTGCCGTATATTGTCCTCTGGCTCTGCCGGATTACGTCCACCAGCAAGGACCGGGGTATGAGTGACGGGGCACATCTGCTGGGAGCGAGCCAAAATGGGCCTGACCTGTACCTGACCACCTCGAGCGACTCCCCAAGTCATGCCACACAAGATAGGCCGCATGTCGAGCATGTAGAGGACCTGATCGTCCCTTCGCTGGACTGATTGGGTGGTGATGAACACTGCCGACCCCCAGATCCCGAAGTCGAAGTGGTCAATCAGACTGGGGCGCGTCGGTTGGATGATCAAACGGTTCGGGTCATATCCCAGGGCTTGCGCAATGGCCTCGCGCTGCGAACCTGTGCTCCATGGCGCTCTCAGGAATTGCAGCGGCTCATCATCGGTGAGAAGCAAGAACCACATGCCGTCAAGGCCTGGTAATGGCTGGCTACGGTCCCAACTCAAGGTGTCCTGCAACATATCCTGTAAGCGCGTTACAGTGAAAGGTGGATGCCCGATGGGAACAAAGGTCACACAGAAGCCCGTATCGATGCCAATCGCGTCACGGTCGCCTAGCGGCATCACCCTGTCATGAACATACACCTCAACAGTAGCTTGTCCCGGTAGCCTGGCAATGGCAAGGAGGGACGCACGGGTTGTCACAGGCGCACACAGTGAACAGAAGATCGTACCATTGACGCGCGAGCAATCTAGAACGACATACTTGTCGGTGTTCCAAGTTGGCAACGCAAGGCCCACGGCATACGCCGCAACTGGCTGCGGGTGCGCAAAAACAACCGTCGGGAAACGCTCGGCCAGGCGACGTGAGCGGTTATTTTGCAGCGCCGCATGTGCCGCAATCATATCTGTTCCCATTGGTAAGTCAACGTCAACAACTTCTGGCAGATACTCTGGTGCAAAGAGCAAAAAGCGCGCCTGAAGTGTAGCCGGGCCTACTTCTCCCTCTAAACCCTCAGCGGGTCTAGGGCGGGTAAGGATCGGTGGGGGGATGCCTGGCGGCCTATCTTCCCACAGGGCAAGGGGATCATTGGTATGAGGATTCTGCTGCGCTTCACCTGACATTGCTGTGGTGGTGCCTGCCGGGGTATCAGGAATCCTGTGGGTGCGTACCCCACTGGCAACAAGGTCGTCAGGGTATGGCAAGTCTGACCGCTCGCCAGGGCCAGTTCTGTGCTCGCGTACATAGACTGCACCATGCACTGGGTCGTGCCTCAAACGACGGCTCCTAGGGGCCTCTGCCTCTTGGTCCAAAGCCGGGTCGGTCATAGTCATAGTGCCTTGTAGGTCGTCATGGCGAACTTTTATTGCGCTGCTCCCAAAGGCATGTTGCTCTGTAGAGTGCCTTGCGCCAGCACTTGCATGGCTAGGACGCTCTCTTGGCGAGCGTGATCGGGGCGCTCCTGGTGGAGCCTGCGAAGCTGGGGCATTGACCGGCTGAGGTGGTGGAGGACCCTTGGTGGGGAATCTGCAAGTGCCGCCCTCTCACCGCTTGGTGACTCAGTGTCATTATTGCTGTCTGAGGAGGTTTCTCCATCAGAGTCACTGTGCAGTGCGGCCCATATGCCCGTTCTCACGAAGCCGAAGGTGAGCACATCGCCCTCCTTAATGTGAGAAAACCTTGTCTGTTAGGTCGCGGCCTGCAGACCAAGGTATAGGAAGGAGGAGGGCGAGCATTGATATAACGCAACAAGAACGACACTGCCACTCTCGGTTCATCAAGGTACACATGCATCACAGGCACGTTGGCCAAACGAGGGTCAAGGAACACGACAATGCCTTCCCTTTCTGGCCGTGGTTGCACTGGAGTAATGGACAGCACTTCTCGGCAAACATGTCCGTGGTAGCACACATTGCTCAGTGCATCGCCTGCTGCTGTGCAGAAGAGTGTCGTGTCCGGGGTCCGGTTGACCAGTTCTGCAAAATGCGTCCTCACATCAGTGCTTGGAAACCTCCGACGCGAAAAAAGGGAATGGTGGTCGCCGTGCAATGCGTAGACCGGCCTATCACCTGGGGCTTCTGGAAACACGGGTTCGGCAAACCACCATTGGGGCCTATCTAAGCGCGTGGAGAGTGGGCAGTCCCAGGAAGCTGCACCGCCTTCCGACTGGAACTAGATTACCCCTCCTGTGACGGCTAGGAAAGTGTCCCCGGGGGCCAAAGCCCGGGAATGCCCGAAGGCAAAGGCACTCCAAGAATGCAATCCGTGATGCTGAGCCTCACGCACACAGTCACCATATCGCATGTGCTTGTCAACATATGCTGCGTATGTCGGTCCCCCCAAGGCCGTGAGATCGAATTCAACAACCTCCAGGCCCGAAGAGTCTACCCACTCTGGATAGAGGATCAGCGAGCCATGGTCTGCGGCCAATTGTGGAACAGTGGCCGCAACATTCTGCTCAAAGTCAGAAGGAGGCATCTGTAGGGCCGACTTGGCAGCCTCGACAAAGGCAGGAAGCGGGCAGGGTAGCGGTAGGTCGAAGTCTGCTACCCTCATATGGTAGTGGGGCGCAAAAACCCGGCATATCAGAACCGTTCTACCCCCAACCGATTCCTCTGAGGCACCATCATCATCCTGAGGAGCAATGTCATCGTTTTGTTGCAAGGGTGCCTGCAGGACGTGTAGCTGGGCATGGTTGGCCCAGCTGAGTCTCAACTGAAGATCGCGGTCGTCCAGAACTGACGGCGTATTGTCTTGCCATGGCCTGGGTGGGAAAGGGTCAGGGCATAGTCGTGCAGCCGTTATGAGGATGTCGACCGCTTCTCCCCAAAGCGGCGTAGTTGCCCATGCAACTGTCGGCAATTGCCAGAACAATGTACGTTTGATCCAAGCTGCCAACGGCCTACTGCCTGAAGAGGCATGCAGGTTCCTGCGCATGGTATCACCTTGTCGAAGCAATGCCTCCTTAGGCCTGTTGGTGGCACGTGTATGCACTCGGCCTATCTCTGCTAGTGGAACCAGTGCACGGAGCAGAGGTTGCATCGTGGGAAAAGCAAGGGTCCTATGCGGCCATATGCGATGCACACGAGCAGGTCGCAACAAAAGGACGTTCAGCAAGACATGGCTCAGGAGTGCAAAGTGCAGTATCAGTGGAGCGACCCATTCTCAACTGAGTGCACAGCGTCAGGAGCCAGGTCTCCCACGCAGCTGTAACATCGTCTTCCATCGGAAGTGTTATGAACACAGCTTGTCTGGCCACTGGCAACATTCCAGGTCTTAGGGCAGGGTGTGGGCCTAAACCAGAAATGTCAACCGGGCAAGGGTCTAAAACCCAAAGGGGGCTGAGTAAAGAGGGGATGGTGACGGGGCGGCAGCCAAATTCCAAGGCGCCTTGTCCCCACACGACATCAAAGCGGGTAGACACCTGACAGGAACCGGTCGTCGCCCCTGCGCCACCGATACGACTGTTAGGCACTCGGCACTGAAAAGTGTCACACCGAAACAATGGCTTGGAGCAAAGCCCCAGTGCTGGAAGGAGAGTATTTCCCTGCACAAAACCCAGCTTGTCCTCGGGACACACCAAAGAGGAACCGACCGCCGTGCATGCGTAAACCCAAAGCATGCGTGAGGCCGGCACCAGCAGGAGCAGACAATCGGCAACAAATCGGCGAGGACTATGTACACCTCGAAGAACCCATTCTGCACAGCTGAGCTCACTCTTTATGTACATAGCCTCCACGCAAAGTCCCCGATCATGGCACGGCGTGGGGACGAGGGTACATAGGACGGCTGGACCCGACAGCACACGGCAAGGCGGGTCACAGCTATCCGTCACCTTCCGACTCCCAGCCTGGCTATCGCGGAGACTTTGCAGTGGCATCGGCCGCGGTAGTGGGACATCGCTCAGTGGTCCAGTCGTCCGAGCCCTGGCGAAGCCGCCTGCAGTTCGTCTGGGTCCACATCCACCACATTGAGATTCGTTGCCCGGTTTCCGGAGACCTCTCCCGGAGGTCGAGCATGCTCGCTTCCGTGAGCTCCCTGCGAAGAGCCCGTTGAATCCGCATGGCCAGGGGTCGGTGGAGCTAGTGGAACTGGCAACCCAAACGGTCGCATTGCACTCCGTCGGGCTTCCTGAAGCTTGTCGGCGAGGCTGGTTGTGTGGGGCGATGGCACCTGAGGAGCATTCTTGGTGGACTCCTTCACTCCCACACGTGCCTTCAGGGCACGGACTGCTGCTATCGAGTCTGCATCCATAGGCAGGATCGGTCTTGTCAAAGGTCCAGACGAAGGTGCCCTGCCCACAGCAACTGCCGCTTCGGAGGGCGCCACCGGACCCCGGTCTCCGGCCAGAACCCGTGGGCTGGCCGCCATGTATGGATCCCGTGACACGGTTGGCGATGCTGCATTGTATGCCGGCACCCGGGCTTGTTCCATCCTCGGCGGCACAGCTAGTCCTGGCGGTACTGCTGCCAAACTGTGCCCTGCAGGACCTGCCGGCGTCGTCCCAGTAAGCAGCAACTCGTCCAGCTGCTTGCCTAATGTAGCCGAGTCCAACTCCATGGGCACCTCCTCCTGAGCATCGGCAAAGAGGTGTCTCCAAGCTTGCAAGGCCTGATCCTGGCCAGCATTCTTGGGAGCAATGCCCTCCATCGCTCGTCCAAGGACCTCTCGAGCATTCGCCTCCTGTGCCGTGGCCTCTGCCGTCTCGTGCTCGAGCCTGTCCAGGTCCGCCAAGTGTCTCTGATATTCCTGCACAAAGGAATTCTTCAGTTCCAGCTGGTAGGTCTCCCATCGCCGTGCTTTTTGCTGCACCTCTGTATGCAGCTTCGCGACCTTGTTCTCCGCTTTCCGCAGAAGATTGACAGCATCCTGTGCAATCCGGGCAAGGCTGTTGCGGCCTTGCTGAGGTCCTTGCGGATTGCGCCGTTCGGCCACCACCGCCACACCGGAGGGTTCGGTCCAGTCGGTGTCGTAAGCCGGAAAGGCACGGCTCTTGGCTTTCGCTTTCGGAGACGGGGAGTGCTTCCTCCATGTCTCGTACGCCCCATGCCAGTAGCGTTTGGATCCACCATAGGATCCGTATGGCTCCCAGCCTTGTTGGTCTTCCTCTGCTTCCCATGTCTTCTGATCTTTTCTTGCTCTGCTCTTTCCCATAAGAGAGCGAAGCTCAGAAGCAAAGGGAGGGCAGGTGCCGTGATGCCGAGCAATCCGCGACAGTTGGCGCTTAGATAAGCGCAGGCCAGCCCTTAGTCTTGCCCGAGCTGTTGACCGACGCTTCCGTTGACGTCGGTGCCAGTTCGGCGATCTCAATGGGCGCGGAATCACTGACCACTTAGGGTACACCTACGCACGGTTTCGTGCTGGGGCCACAATGTTCCGAGCTGTCTCGGCGATTTGAGCCCTACATACATACATAATCATACATACATGCATGCCTGCATGCATACATACTACGTACATGCGTGCATGGATGCAGACACACATACATCCATCCACATGTTCTTCTGCCTGCAAACCTGCCGGCCTACCCACCTATGTACCTATACCTACCTACCTACCGAGGTGTGCCCGTAGATAAACTATACAATCCATACATACATACATACTGACCTACATAAATACATACATTCATACATGATGCCGGGCCTGAGCCCCCCCCTCCCCCCCGACCTCATGGTATCCCATCCCCCCCGCCCCTGCTGTTGTGGTCTTGCTTGGGCTCCTGGTCTCTCGGCTTCTTTCTCTCCCCCCTCCCCTGCGGGGTGGTGCCTGTTTTTTGCGCCGTTTGCTAGGGTAGGCAGGAACACCAAGCTTAGGTCTAAGTTTTGTGTTTGCTCCAACATGCCACCGAGCAGAAGCTGCAATCTGGCTGACTCGTCGTATGCTACATTGGATTGGCTGCTGAGCCGCTAGCAAACCTGCAAATGCTTACAGCTATTTGTCAGTAGATGTATTGTCATCCTTATTGCGATTGTTACTTCTTACACTAGAGGCAGCGATGTTCCCCTTTTTCCGTTGCCGATGGTACCTCTGTCACTGTGGTGTAGCCGTCGCTCTGGTGCACTCGCGGAGCATTGCATTGACACCCGGCGCCCTCGCGGTTTGCATGGTGGGGTGCGAACCGAGTATGCAACCTGCCCCAAACAAAGACAATCACGCAAATCACGAATACCTGGCAGCTGCTTATGCCCTGTTTGAGACGGGGAGATGCCCAGGGAGAACGTGACACCAATAAGGTCCAATCCTAGCGACGATGGGCGGCTTGATATCGCGATGTGACTGCTGTCACAGACGGCCTTGGGGCGCGGGGGTGTAGAGGGGGGATACCAGGGGGGGGAGGTGATGGGGGGCAGCGGACCGAGACCATACATGCACAGATACACGTCTGCCTCTGCGGGACCTGATTTGGCCAAGGCCGTCCGTTCGAAATGGCACACAGTATTCTACAGTAGGAAACGTTCGTGTTTGTGACAACGCAGCACTTGTCGCTTGGAGCATGCACAATCAGCATCTTCCAAGTTCCTCGATCCTCGCTGTCCACATTGTCTGTCCCAACAAGACATCAAGGTCTCCGATATGCTGTAAGCAGAAACCAGATGTTCACAATCGTGCGAGGCAGGATTGCACGTGTGTGCGCATGTGTGCTCATGAGTGTGTGCCTGTGCGTATGTGTGTGTGTGGTGTCTCAGTTCCCAGCCGGGGCCAAAGCATTGAAGCCTCCTAGTGACAAAGACAAAAACTGACAGGAACTTTGCGCGCAGGCCCGCAAGCAAAAACGCCGCGGACTCGGAGCGTAGCAGCAGCCGGGCGGGGCTTGAAGGTTGGTGCTACTGTTAAATCATCCTGCTTCGACAAACTCAGCTGGCAGAAGCTGTGGACAGGACTGCCCCTGCTTCTCCAGGTGCGCCTGGAAGTCGGAGACAATGGAAAGTTCCATGAGCCAAACCCAAGGCAACGACGTCGCAGCTGTGCCTTGCGGACCTGGGGGACCTTTCAGTATCTGAATCAAGTCGCCAGTCATGGAGGCCACCTGCAGGAGGAGTGAGACAAAAGCTAGGCAGTCGGCACACAGCGTCTCACTACCCAGGAAGACCAGCATATGTGTGTACTTCGCACGACACAGGCCATGCCTCGTAGATTGGTCGCGTTTTGGAGTTTTGGGCCTGTATTTGTTTGACCTTGGAAGACGTCGCAGGAGTGGGCTTTCGGCACATGACCAGTTTGACACCAACGCAGATTGGTGAAGAGCCCTGCCATTCTTCCATACCAAGGCTGCTGCAGCTTCCCAGGCAGCTTTTGCATGCTGCTTGGCAGCTACAGCTGCTGTTGTTGGATCGTAGACCTGGGCTTGTTCCAGTCCTGGTGCCTATTACTATCTCATACCAGCAAACAGAGGGCTCAAAGGAGGACGCCCTACAACAACTGCAGTCAGGTTGCGCTTGAAACAACCGTTCGGACTGGCTGAGCCTCCTCGTTTTGTCCACTTTGGCTTTGCTTGTTTCGTGGTCCAGGTGCACCGCGCGACGACTGTGCAGCCTTGCAGGAGGAAGGCATAACGAAAGCCGAGACTCGACCAGTATGCAAAATCTTGCCACCGTCTCAGGCGGTGGCCTTCTTTGACCGCACATCAGGCCCAGGTGGGCCTGGGGGGCCAGGTGGGCCACGGGGGCCTTCTTCACCCACGACGGAGGAGGCACGGCTGTAGCCTCACACCGCACAAATCAAAGGTCAAGGAGGAAAGGTCGTGCTGCATCACACCTTCCGTATGCCTCCACCAAATCCCGGGACTGGCTGGCCAACGGACTCAACGTCATCCAAAGCATCGTCTGCTTCCTCTTTGGCCATCTTCGCAAGCTTGTCCGACTCCCCTGCCTGTCTCACCTTATGAAGCGGCTTCTCACAAGCCTCTGCCTGTTGTGGCATATTATTGTGGAGGTTTGGGGAAGATGCAATTGAGCCGCTGCTTTGCTGAGACTCCCATCAAACTTTCTCAAGTGTTTGCTGATCTTCAACATCGTCTTGCCCAGATTTTGTGTACGATTGAGTAACTTCTGCACGGCGCTCTTGGATGAGTTCTGGTCCTTCAGAACCTCATCCAACCTCAACACATTCTTGACTGGCTGTCATGGTGAAGCAGCAGCAGGCAACATGCACCGCGCTTCACATGCCTGCCAAGAAACGTCGTTCCAAGGTCATCAACTTCGTACTTCAGGTTGGCTTCTCTCGCCTTTAGAAGATCTGAGGCGTTCTTGGCTTTGCCGGCATCCTTCTGAGCATGCCCAGCTGCAGTTTCCTGGGCCAAGTTGAGCCAAGGCGCAACTGCGCTGAGCAGGTTCAGGCCATGTGATACCCTACCCTCGCTGGCAAGAATTTTCCGGTGAGCCCTCGACCGCATGCATGGCTTCAGTTCCAAATTCGATAACTTTGCTCTCCACATCCTTGACAACCTGAGTCCAGCTTTGCGGTTCATGTTGCAGTGTATCTCGTCTCCTTCAGTCTCTGAACAGGCCCTGGCTCGCTCCAGGATATCATCCTTGGCCTTCAGCTGGCCGTCTTCTCGCTGTATGCCTGCAACCACAAGGTGATTTCGCAACAATAGCCAAAAGGCAGCAGCACCAGCAGCTAAGCTCACGCTGCCTTCCACTTCGGCCTGGAGCCTCAGAGCGGTGCTGTTTGTCTGGTTCAACGCCTCAGCTCGGCAGATTCAAGCAGCCAATGCAGCTGATTGCTGGCAGCTTGAGAATGCATGCTATGCGTGCTACTGTAGACGGTTCAGGCCAGGCACTTGGCCAGCTTGGGCTGGCACTGATCCCGGATTGATTGCAGCAGAGGACTGTTGAACGCACATCCATTTGTGACATTCCCGAAGACTGCTGGGCGACTGGCGTCGTTGACATCTGCATCCACTTTAGCGAAGTCTCCTTGATGCTGGCGCATGCACCGACAGTCCGAAGCTTAAACAGACATCTTGCGGTCCTCGGACGATCTCAAGCTCCTGGCATCACAGCTGTTATGCATTGTGTATGCATACACTCATGTACACATGTACAGTGATATACAGATCTGCAAACACACTGAAATGCAGACATGCAGATATAACTGCTCCGCGAGCCCACGCTTGCGCTGTGGCGTTCCCCGATACAGTATCAAGCACTGCAATGTTCCACGCAGTCAGAAACGACAAGTGGTAAACGGCAAGGCCGGATCATAAACGGCAAGGGGTTTCCACAAATGGTAGAAAGTGTAAAGCGTTGAACCTAAAAATAGTTCCGGACAGTTTAATGTGTATGTTGGACTTCATGCTTCATGCAATGAAGAGGCTGGTCCACAAACTACACTACCGACATTACAGGCCTTCGCAAGACGACGGTGAAGAGTGAAACACAAGTCATCAGCAGATTGAACCCGCTTGAAGTACATGCTATTTCTACCTTTGCATAAGCCACGCACGGATAAAGACATGAACAGGTACAAACATATATCTGTATCGATATCTTATATGTGCATGCGCTAATTATGCGCATGATGCACCTCACCTTAAACTTATGTGGGTTTGTGTGTGTATATATATTACATACATATATATATATATATATATATATATATATATATATATGTTTTATGTGTATATATATATATATACGGGGATATGTATATGGTGAAGCCCCCATGATCCATTCCACCCTTCTCGCCCACTGTTCCTGTACAGTTTTCTATCTGTCTACAAGTTTATGGTACAGAGAACATCGACATGTAAAGCGACTCCCTGTACACTTATGCTACATCTTTTGGTCCTTTGCTTTTTTGACATTGTATTACACTTGAAACCCAAAACGGATGACGCTTCTGTTTCGGTGTTGCAAGTTTGCTATCTTACGACAACTGTTGCTGTCCTAAACCTGGCAGTACTGTCGACTCTTTGCCCGGCACTGTCTGATGAATCGATGCGCCAATGTGCCTTCTTCTGTTCCGCATTCTCTTGCTCGAGCTCGATGATCTTTTCATCTGCAGCATTCAGCCTTTGATCCTCACGTACCAGGCACTCGTAAAAACCACTCTGGAAATCTCTGAATGTTGAGAATGTGGAAGCACATCAATCCAAGGAAGTCGCCTGCGCAGCGACCATGACAGCGGCCCGGGCTGCCTGAGCATCATGGCACGTGGCTCTCGCTTGAGAACATGCAACCAAATGTGACGAAGGCGATGAGAGCCACAACTGACTACATATGGGTAGTTGTCAACATTAAGGTCCCTTTTTGGGTACCCGAAATAATAGGTGCCGTATTATAATAGGGACGGAAAAGGGGCCATAATTTGACAACCACCCATATATCTACGGCCCAGCGACCGCAGCTTCTGCAACCTTGGCAACCTCCATAGCGTTCGCCAAACGCTCCTCCCAGTCAGACTCCGGAGTCTTGGCCTTGCATGGTCCAAAAGTTCTCTGGAAGCATGCATGGCTCAGCCTTCCACCATAGGGGCCGGGGGACTGGGCGGGCGGAGGGTTTTTTTAAGCTTGAGCTTGTCTTGTCCTTACCCCTTCTTAGGGAGGCCCCCAAAATAATTCGGGATATCTCTAGCCCATCCAGGCGTATCACCGGACGATCCCAGGCTTATCCCAAAACTTTCCAGGCTTACCTCAAAACTGTCCACGCTCATTTAAAAATGCTTCCGCACCTGCAAACATAGACATCCTGGCTATCCAGAATTATCAAAAAACGGTCCATGTTTATCCCGAAGGCGTCCAAGGTCCCGGATGCCTCAACAACTGAAAGGTGTCGGGATAAGCCCTGAACAGTTCTTTTCAACCACCCACCCCCCGGCCATCTATGAAACCTCTGACATCCTCTGATCTAACCTTATCGACGGAGGGCCTCTCTTCTCACCAGCGGCGGGTTGGCTGAACCGAAGTCCACCTCGTTACAAATTGTCTGGCATGCGGGACGGCTTTTCCGGATGCATCCAGCAGGATCGGCATCCCGTTGTGGAGCCTATGTTATGGACAGACATCCCTGGGAAGCAGGCCGGATCATCTGCAAAGCAGTGTCGAAGTGCCAGCAGCAGAACCTCGTGCAGTGTTCAGGCTGCCAAGGTGTTGCAAACTTTGGATTGTTTGCGCATGGCGTTTTTGCAACATGAAGCGTATCAAGGCCAGCACCACTCCTCTTCGGAGATGCATCCTTGGCTGCACGCGAAAATTGAAAAGCTGTCTTGAGAACCAGAGGGATGCCTCTGCAGTTGCACGATGATTGCCAAGCTTCGAAGATGAGGGATGTCATGGATGTGTTGTCTAACCACGAAGTCTGGACTTGATCCGACAAAGGCCGACAGTGCGAGGGAATGCATGAAGAAAAGGAGGACTCAGGATCCCCAGGCCACACCTCCAGCCGCTGGCCAACACAAAACCGCAGTAAACATTATCTCTAAGAAAATGCGGTGCGGTGCAAGAAACAGAGTTTTCTCGTTCAATACCTGCCGGGTTTCGGCCGGTTCCAGATGTCATGCATGAGCTTGCGAACCCTGAGCTATGTCAACCGCAATCAAGGACCTCGACCCTGAAAGGCAGATCAAAAACTCACGGCCTTGATTAAAACCTTGACCCCTGAGCGTCGGCGAGAAAATAACAAAACCCATCGAAGCGTGGACCCTCGAACCAAACTGACGGAAGGTCATGGAGCTTCCTGCGTCTTCCTGCTCCTGTCGACCTGCGGTATGCCCTCCCCATTTCAGCCCAGAGCGCCTTTGGTGGACTAGGGGTGAAACCATGAGAGCCTTTCAGCATTTTCTAGATATCCTAGCTGGAACATGCAGAAACCATCTTAACATCGGGGAAACTTGGCCTGGGCTCATCATCCGAAGTGAAACATGCACCAGGCCTGAAAGCATGTGGAGCTTTCCAGCTACACCTTGAAATCATTTTCAACCCGATGAGCTTGCATCCATGCGTGCAAGCCTGCGTCGTTTTCGAAAAGATAACCTGCACATCTCAGCGTCGAGGCCAATCGAAACACCACAATTATTGCCTTCAAGCTCTGACAAGATTATCAAGGTCGGGCGATTGCACACTGCATACACCACCTCTCAGCAGTCCAGGACCAACTCACACCGTGTGCCAAAGCCGCCTGTCGTGGCCGCAACGAGGAGAAGTCTCCAAGGAAGAAAACGCGTCAGCTGGGAGTCTGGGAGTGCCACTCCCAAGCATTTGCGACGACTTCTCCGCACTTCCGCCTCCGAGTCCGTCGGAGGTCGAGACATACTCCGACAAGAGGACGGGACGGGCTCAGGATGTGGCCCTAGAGACGGCTTGCTCTCACAGGCCTCGCAGACGGCATAGAGCGAGGATATCAAAAGAACAAAGCTTCCCTTAATACAGCAATCTGAGGAAAGGGCTTTGAGAATGTCAAAGCCCCGCACCGCCAACTGGAAGTCCTCCGGAAAGTTGTTTCGGATCACGACACTGCGAGATCCGAACAGGTCGTGCAGTGAAGGTTGACTGTAGCCAAGCGCCTTGACTATTCGCATAGAGAAAGCGACACCTCAACGAGCCACGACCAAACAGCTTGGGTGCTCTCGATGACAGACAGATGAAGAAATCTCTGGCAACTCTGCAATTCACCGTCAAGTGGCAGTTGGTGAACTCCTTCTGCTTGTCCGCTGTGCTGTACACCTTTACAAAACTTATGCAGATCCCTTCATCCGTCTCAGGGTGCCGGCTGCAGTCATGTGGACAAGGGCGGCCTGGAAGTCGCGCTTCAGGTCATTCTTCAGCACTGCAGCGATGATGCGTCCAGCCACTGGCGGTGCACCCCCAGCTGCATGCCGGATTGTGTGGACCTGCATTTCACGTATGCCTCGTTCTGCGAGCAGTACCGTATTAAGGCCAGCCTGCGGATGCGGCGCGCTGCCTTCTGATCCCTGCACGAGATATGGCATGGAGCACGCAATGTTTCTTTCACATGAATCAAAAGCTATCCAGAAATCGAGTGTCAGAGAGCGAGTGCCCGGAAACTCCAAGAATACGTGGGTGCCCTATGGCCCATGTGTCGAAGTAAGAGCTGGGCTTGTCCGGCAACTCTCCATGTGAGACAGCTCAGAAGCAGCAGACTCTCAAGGGCTCGATTGTGCAAGTGTGCGGATGTAGCTTGGGGAGCCAAATAATGCCAAACCCATGTCTGACGATCCAGAGACTATTGGAGGATTTCTCCTGCACTGAAAGGCCGTGCACGAGGAAGCGTCACAGGCTCTGAAGCCGAGAGGAAGTTGGGGCTGACGGGGAGGGAGCGCTTGAAAGAGAACCCTACGCAAGCGACACTAGAGCATGTACCAATGCAAGAACCAAACTCTACTCGTACTCTGCATAGTTCCCAGTCCTGGACATCCCGGTATCGCGCTTGAACAGAGCGAATCACCTCTTCAGATTGCATGGGCTCATGAAGACAAGCTCTAGTCACGCGAGCGATGAAAGCCCATCTTCGGTGCCGAGGCTACGATGCATCTGGATGATAGCATAGCTTTTCATGACTGGCTCAACTTGTCAGGGCCGGCAGCACTTGCACTCTAGTTGCGGCCACCTAAGCTGTCATGAGACGTTGACAGCCTCCTCACAAGATTCTATGTCATCCGCAAAGTACACGAGGATGCCCTCCTTGCACATGAGGACTACTCGAACCCAGCTTTGCAGATCGAAAGCAGATAAAAGAGCCACAGTTCTTGGACAATCTAAAAGCTGAACATCCCCAGCATCTCACTTCGTAGCCGAACCCTGTGTCCTTGACGGCATAGAAAAGGCAGCAAGACCAGAGTCGTTCTCGTGTCGGCGGGGGCTGACAGCAATGGCAAATCAACGTCGGGTCAGCAGGGCTGTGGCAGGTGCGGAGCGAGCCCAACATGCCGCATGCATCCGCATGCCTCTTCAAGCTCGCCAAACTTCTCAAGCGAGAGACCGCTGCTCCGCGAGGCACTCTTGAACCTGAAACGGAAGCCCCGGGAGCCCCTGACCGACTCAGAAAGCAACGCGGCCAAGTCGCATCGTGCTTGTAGGGCTGAGCCGAGCTCCGGAAGCGCTCCGAGACCTGAGACAGCAAAAACCAGCCAGTGGCCCTCTGCAAAAGCGCCTAGGCCTAGGCGGCTTCGGGGCGCGCACATCCAGCTGCATTCCCTGCGCAACTTCTCCACCGAAGGACACCGTGTGGCCCTTGGCAGCTCTATCGTGGCTTCTGATTTTGGGCATAACCACTGCTTGCCGAATGGAGTATTGTCAGCTAGCTGACCGTCCTGTAGCTTGTACCGAACTGCCGATGTCTCACGACTAATTTGCCCCAATCGTGCTGAACGATCCAGTCGACTGGCTGACATACGACAACATGCAAAGCTGCCAACGTCGACTCCATATCCTCTGAGGGAGAGGGTGGCGAGGGCGATGTGTCCTCGCGGCTCGCGTGGCGTGGAGCTGGAGCAAGATTGTTAATTCTCGGGAAATCGATTCACCTGCGCTTTTGTGCGACGTCTGGAACTGCGCGGAGAGTGCGACTCATGACTCCATGCATGATGTCCATGCTAGAGGCATAAGCAGCATTGCATCTGCAGCACTTCTGCCCGGGCACCTTCTTCTCTGCAGCCGTCACCTGGACTGCATGAACACTCAGGTAAGGCGAATGCCGAGAATGTACGGGCGGGCACACATTCCCACGACAGAGGAAACTGGCTGCTCTCCAACTCAGCATGCTCCGGAAGCCTCTTCCACCGTCCGTGAGAACTTATGCGGGAAGTTGCAGTGTGCTTGGAGAACGACGCCCTGTCACAGATGACGACCACCGGTGCGCGCATCGGCCCCAGCACTGAGTCGGCCAACTCGGGATAACTCGGGTCTGGGCTGAATAGCATCGACCACTCTCTGCATCAAAGCCAGCGATGAGTACCACTTCAGCAGCTTCACTGACCTGCTTAGCGACACGGGGATAAAACCAGAACTTCAATGACTTTCTTCGGGCCTGCACGTAGTCTCCTCCCTGCCTGAATGTTCCTGGGTAGACGTATTCCACCTGACAAAACACGTTCAAGCGCCTCTACGATTCCAGAAGGCAGGGATTGCTTCACCCAGGCAGCTGACGTTTCCCGGGCGCGTGAGGAGGATCTGCCGCGACTTCGCGAGGGGGGTGTAGGTGGCCGTCGACCAGATCGATGGCAATGCCGTCTGTCAAACAGAGGGACTACTTTGACAAGCAGATCTGTTGACGAAACTCCTTTACAGAATCCATCAGCCGCCTTGTCCAGGGTGTCTGCCTTCAGCGAACTGAATGCGCTGATTGTGATAAAGCGGGGTCAGTTCCTCTTGAAATTATGGAGCCGTCTGGAAGGTACCCTCTACTCTGAGCTTCGCTTCCGGAAGAGTCCCTGTGAACGAAAACCCTTGTAAGCAAAACCAAGATGCAATCATTCATCCGAAGCGGAGCTACGCTCATAATAACATCACGTGGGCAATGTGGGTATCTTACCATCTTGATGATTTCCTCAATCACTTAATATTCGAAGTTCACGGCAGCTTCAACACTCAGGGCTGACAGGTCGTTTTCGCCTGTGCGCAAGCCAAAGCAGTCGCGACGTCAACCCATCAAGAATGACAGCGGCCGTTCGGTCAAGAATCCCAGAGGCCCAGAATCACTGGGACTGGAACAAGGCTTAAATTAAAGTAGCAAAGAAGTCGCGAAGCTGACTCAAAAAGCGACGAAGTCGCGCCATATCGAAGATGGGGATCGACGTCTCTGGCTTAGTGTTCTAGGGTGTGGTTCTCCTCTGAAGATGAGTCCCATAATGACAAAGATCACATTAGCAGTTGTAAACACCATGACCCTGCGCCATGCACATTCCAAGAGATCTGAGGCGCTGACCCATTCTTCCGCTCCACGTAAGGAGAAGTATTGACCCATGACACCCAAGTCACTATAAGTTCTGTCGTTCAATGTTCTCATGTGGCACTCCTACTACGAAGACTGGCCTACAGCCCATGTTGACCTGTTGGATGGCTGCTTTACAAGTGCTCATCCAAGTGACTTACTTGATGAGGCAACCAGCCACCGTCAGATCCAAGAAGGGACCAGGGTGGTAACACGCAAGCTGCCCTGTGCATCACGAAAGCTGTCGTCTAGCCCAGAGCGTCACGATCAATCCAGCAGCTATACATGGAAGGGCAACAAAGCGATTACAACTTTTCTGCAAAGCAGATTCTCCTTCTCAGTTTGGAAGGCTGCGCACGACATGCTGTCTCACTCGAATCTGTACTTTGTGAAACATGCTAGTGATATCAAGACCAGAAAGGCCTGGAAAGCGAAGTGCGCAATGATGCCCATGAGAAACATCTGGTATCCAGCCTTGCAGAGTGGCACGATCCTTCCCATGCCACAGCGTGCCATGGCGTGCCAAGGTGCGCGTTCATCGTCCAAGACCTGTTTGGAGGAGTCCGCAGTCCATTCGAAGAAGAGTGGGTGGATGGCCTCTGAACTACAAATCTGAAAAATGCATTCTCTGGGTTCAGCAGCGACTTGCTGTCCAGGCTGCCTTGATTGCATAAGCAGATTCGGCCTGCTGCACTGCAAGCCTGACAGCAAGAAGACAAGATATCTGCCTTTCCACCAGCGTCTGCTTGGAGCGCCTGTAGAAGTCTCGATCCTCATCGCTGGTTATCCTCAAGCCTCCCTTGGGGCCATCACTGTTGTACCTGGCAGGTACTGTGTTGACGGACTGGCCACAATGCGGAACCAATGCATGCCAGCAAGACGCTCCGCATTTGAAGTCGGCTTGCTGATCGGAACAGCAATTCTTGCCCACCGCCCAGAAGTCATAGGAACTGCCAGCCAGCACGCTCGCTGCATAGCAGGACATGCACGAACCGAATCATAGGGATTGCTCCAAAAGCAGAGGAAATCGAGGTCCGAGCGCCAGCACCATGTTGTTCACGGTTATTGGTGCGACCTGTCATTGCGTTTGACTTCGAACCTTCCACCATGCTGCGAAAGATCACACATCTCTTTATGTGTAGGATTGTATGGGATCCATGCAAGTACGACAGCTGTCAAGGCAGCCGGTGCTTCGACGACGGACAGTATTTGGGTGCGAGGCACAGATCTCAAGCCCTATGAGTGTGTGGCTTCGCTGCTTCGCCTTCTTCAAATCATGCCGGGACTACACAAAACACGTCCGTGTTCTTGAACCCATTGGCCAGGTGGAAGTCCAGACCAGCTCCTGCTACGAACTGGACCTTGCCTGCGTCCATCAGCTCCTGTTGCGGCACAAACACAGTATCACGTTGACAGGCTTGGCTACGAATGCCACAACTGGGTTGGGTTTAGTCGCCTGGCCCCTCATCGTTGCAGGGTTGACCTCAACGTATGAGTTGAGCGACACCACATCGAAGATCGAGCGCATGTTCGTCTGGTAATTGTAGCCTTGCTTTGCCGTGCAAACACATGGGAACAGAAGAACAATGTGAAACTGATCCCCCACACGTGTCCCAGCACCTCGCATTTGTCCCCAGCTGGGTTGTAATTGTGATGTTTGCAGAAACATCTAGACATGACCAGAGTAAAAACCTACAATCGCTTCAAGGGATAAGGGACTGAGTTAGCGCACTCAAACGACTGCTGGCATTGACTCAAAAAACGCGTGCTTTCGACAACTGAGACCACGTCTGCCAATGAGCATGCCCAGCACGAAGGCAATGGAAGCAGTGACCGCAATGAAGAGTAGCCACACTGCAAACCTTCCTGCAAGGAGCAAGGACGAACGTAAGGTGGACAGCGAGGAGTGCGCAGCCGGCACTTCTACTCTGTGTGGCGGGTCCTGTTTCAACCAAGTGGTACTGGCCAAACATGATGGCCCGGCACGACAGCATAACCTGGTCAATCGTGTTCAACCTTCCCAATGTCCAAAACCACATGCCTCCGGCCCTTCTCCCCCATCAGGCAGCCAGGCGCCCACCAAACTTCTACAGGCGGCTTCCCAGTAGGCACCGGGCCCTGTGGAGGGTGTAGAGCCCAAGAAGAATTCCCAGCACCAGCGTGATAACCATCACCCTGACGCATAAACACTTCGTTGCTGCAGAAGGACCTAGACAATCCTCGGCCGATTGGCTTTTGCATCCCCTTCCATCTGATGCAGCAGCCAAGCTGCACTCCAGGTGATGTGTACCGCAACTTGAAGCACCATAGTCCGCACATGGCGATGAACCTAACAGTGCAGATAGTTTGCCTCTCATCTCGCATGCATTCTCTGAGGCCAACACACGAACCACGGCACAAACAGCGCCATAATGATGCCAACCAAGTTGACGCGCTGCCGAGTCATCGTCTGCCAGGCGGTCAGTTCAAAGCGTTTGATGTGCTTCCCTCTTCTCACACTTGGTTCAGGAGTTGAGAATGTGAGAACTGTCTTGAAAAGGTAGGCTTCACCATTCAACCTGCCCAGGGCTCAGGTGGCTCCACTGGCGGCTTTGGGGAAGCTTTCTTGGGATCATCACTGCTGCACAGAGCCTGCGGTGGTCCCATGAGCGGCTTCGACGGCCCCAACTCATCCTGCATTTCAGCGACAATCGATCCCGGCTCCCTCCACATTCCACAGCCAAGATCTCAGGTGGAGACGGCATAAGCACCATATGGATATCCTTGCCGCCAGCTTGCAAAGTTGATTCGGCACAGCGTTCTGCATCTATGAGCGTCCAGACCCTGGCCTTGCTGCATTGCATAGTTGTCCTGCACATTGTGGCATTGCGTAATTGTCGCTTGCAGTCATCACTGCTGCGCTCCCGCAGCAGCTGGTCCGAGATGAAGCACGCAAGCCATCCACCAAGAACGCTCAACTGAGCAAAACTTCCCGTGTCCTTGCCGTACATGATGTTGGCCTCTTCCCACTTCCAGCCTCAGGCTGACGGGTTGACACGACTTTGTGTGTGTCTATACGTTGCGACTGCAATTCTTTTAGGTCTGCAGAAAAAGGCAGTTCACTGCATGGCTTCCTGTTCTAGGATCACTGAAACAGAGATGCCAGTCGAGAAGCCTCCGAAGCGGACAGAATTCCCAAGTTCAATACCGGGACATGGAGATCTAGACTCTGGAGATTTGAGCCTAAGTGCGGACCGATCGCCACAAGGAGGCAATTTTTGCTGACTTCGACTCTGCAGGTACAGCTGAAGGCGAGATCACGCGATGTGGCGGCCCTTTTGATTCTGACCTTCTGCAATCGTCGGCATCCGTCGCGAGATCTGTGGGTAAAAACCATAGTAATCTGCCTTCTTCACATTAGACTTGCGGTCGTAGCAACACCATAGCAACGAAGGTATCGTATGAAATGAAGCGAGGTTAAACAGTGATTGCGAAAAGAGCTCGTAGCGGTTGTTGTCACAAGCACATAGAAGTGCTGAATGCAGTCAACTTCATCAGGCCAGCTGGTGCTGAATGCAGCTGAGCGCAAGCGAGCTCTTTGCAATCATTTGTGTTCAGTTGCCTGTGTGGCTCAAGTTGCAATCTACTGCTTGCAGTGAACAGTGCTGCGGTCAGGCAGAACGTCCAGATGGCAGGAGCCACGAGCGCGATGTTCCATCCAGTCCTCTCAGCAGCTGCTCAACACTGTCATCAAGCGCTGGAATAGCACCCGGTCAGTCCTCCAACTGCGACTCAGGGCATGCACACTGGGCGCGGTAGTACTGATACTTGCAGCGCGTGTCCTCCACAGCCGTTGAACATGTTAACTGTGCTCGCAACGATCATTGGAGCTCTGAAAGAGAGAGATGTCAGAAGATTCCGTTGGGCATCCTCCTCTCCCAGTTCACGTGCACAACGGGCGAAGACCGTGAAGCGCAAAATGCAGTTGTTGGACTCAAGATTCAGCGAGCATTTGACATCCGGCTGAACGCTCTGAACGATTCAATCAATGCTGCACCTGGTTCGTCAACGAAATGAAGCGCGGGTCGTCCTGGCATCCGTCATGCATGCGATGGCAATCAGTGAACGGCTCGATCAAACTTGCGAGCAGTGACGCTCTTCATCACAATGCATGTTCGGCCCTTGATAGTGATTCAACGGCCTCTGATCTCTGAACTCTGTACTGGCAAAGGACGCCAGCTGAGCTACAAAATTTGGGGATTGCAGAGTTCAGACAATGCAGCCCGCGCTGGGCTAGAGAAATTAACAATTGACAGCACAGATTGTGCCTGAGACTACCTGGTCTTGATTGGGTAAGGCCAGTCACCTTTGGTCTGCTGGGCTTACCATCTGAGTTGTGCCATCTCAGCCTATGTTCGATTATGTCTGGCTTGGCCAGAATTTCCTCCATATCCCGTCTCCACTGTGCCATGATCACTTGAACATTAAGCGGCCACGCACAGCGCCAGGAGTGTCAACCTGCACAAGGTTGTGTATCACCGTTTCACCCACCTTGGCCTGTGCTGCCTCATGCTTTCCATGCCTTGCCCAAAGATCATCGGCACGGCGCATATCGACTTACACCTTGAAAAGTCGAAAGAGGTATGTAACTAGCTGCAGCAACTGAATGAATAAGGAAGGAGCTCTCTATCGGCCCGCTACGAACACACGTGTCTCGTTGATGCACCTAGCTCACCTACTGCAATTATGACACAATCATCGATTTACTCATTGACGTGTCTCTGGCTGTACATGCAAGGCTTGTCAAGTCATCTGCGGCTTGTCGTGGCAGCTGCTTTAGTTAGCGGGCTATCTACCACTTGCTGCGGGAGGCCATCGAAGCCAGTGCGAACTCCCTGTCGCTGAAGTATTCGCTGATCTCTTGCTGAATGGCCTTCGGCAACCTGCCCAGCCAATAATTTCAAGAACACTCCAACAGTCGTGGCGAGGAAAGGCCTCTCGTCTCCAGGATATACCTCGACGTCGCCAACCACAGTTGTTGACCTTCGTCTTGGTCAGACCATAGCCCCATGCAGCGCAGATCGATCCGTTTCTCCGACTCTTCCCTGCTACGAGTACCAATCATGTCGAAGTGTACTTTGTCCGTTTCTTGCCACCGAATTCCGTTCCGCTCAGCGAGAGACGTGCAAGTGCAAGACAAAGCATGTGCAGCGCAGAACAGTATCGGCGATTTCGTAAGTGCCACGACGGGCATGTGTGTGTGTGATCACATGCACCGTGTACACACGCATGCGATGTGGCTGTCACTCAGCAACAAGCAGAAAGTTTTGCTATCCGAGAAACTTGTCAATGACGCCACAGTCTTCCAGTAGCTTGAGGTCAGGAACATATCGCTCCTCAAGAATGCTGCTCTGGCACAACTCACAGGCACACAACTCTGAAAGTCGTGCACCGGAGGCCTTTGAATGGTCCACGAGAACAAAATCTGCAGGCTGCCTCTCCATCCTGGCAGGTGAGACCGCGATCGCAACTTCGCCCGCAATGAAGCCCCACTGCCACAGCCTGTCTGTGATGTTCACCAGCTCGGAATGAACCGTACCCATCCAAATCTTCACCTGAAAAAGGGCTTGTGTCATCAGGGCTAATAAGTATCCTACTACTCTCATAGGCATTCCTAGAAAGCCCTAAAGGCGCTCACCCAAGCTCTAAGATACACGGCACACCTGAAGGGCTCCGTAAAGTGCCAGCACCTCACCTTGAGCAGCCTGCCGACTGTTTATAAAGATCTTGCCTTTGAGTCCAATCCAGCAAACTCGATGATCTTTGTTGCAATTGCAGCGAACAGCTCGTCCTCGGGCTTCCAATGCGGGGTGCCACACGCGACAGAAACACGAGACAGGCACACGGGCCTTCTCCACGCTGAGGAGTTTGCCGCCTTCCGGCAGATTCCTCGCTATTCGAAGGGCACTGTAGCCACCTCAGCCAGGCCGTGTGGTATTGGACGCGATGAGACGGACGACAGGTGGACAACCTGGCTTTGTTGCAGCCAGGTTGCAGTACGTACCCATCTCAAGGCATCGCACCGGGTGCGCAGAGCCTGCCTGCTGGAAGCAGCAATTCACAAGCTCGTGGCTAACAAATCCTAGTAGCAAAAGGACGAACATTGGACTGTTAAGATGCATTGACCATTGCCTTGAGCTGTACCGACTCCTGAACTTTCTCCTCGATCTTCTGGCCCCGGACGTTCCACTTTTGGGCTCCTGAGAACTCACCACTGGTGCTGCGGACAGTCGCCGAGTCGCCATGTCAGCGCTCCTTGGGCTTGGAACGTTTTGTTCCAAAAAGCATCCATAGCTGCAATGACCTGAGTCACTGCGGCGAGAGGAGAAGAAGAGAAGAGGAGAAGAGGAGGGGTGAGGAGAAATGAAAGACTCCAGAAGACTGCAGTTCCGAGGTGCACTGTCAGGATTGCCAGGTTGGGCCGTGGACACGACGTGTTCCAGCAGAGATCGCTCCAGACCATGCATGGCTTCACTCCCCATTTTCTGCACCGTTCCCTTGGCCTGGCATACATCAGACGGCAGACATGCTGGAAACGGGTCGTGTCTCACATCTGTGCAGCAAGCACATAGTAGCACGCAAGCAAATCGTCACCCACCTCAGCCGTCACCATGCCAGGGGCAAGCGACACGGCGGGCGGCGGATACTCCTGCTTTGCTTCCGCCGAATGTGTGGGGAGGGCTTCACGCTTGAGAAACAAAAGAGAGCGGGACCCGGGGAGGGATCAAGGCAGAGAGAGAGAGAGATGCACAAATGACTGTTCAAACGACTGTTCAGGCTCCTCAGAGAAGGAAGTGTCCACAGCATCACAGATCTCTTTCATCCAACCGTGCTTGTCCTCGAGCTCACCACCTCGACTGCGTCAGAACATGAAACTCCCGCCCAGTGCTTCGTGAGGGCTTCGTTGAGCACACGACACTGGATGGAAGTGAGCTCACTTCGCAGGCTGGCCATAGTATCCTGAGAACTTGCACATGCAGTATGTACTGAGCACTCATCGCAAGTCACCTAGCCTTCAAAACGTCACACTCGTGTCAAGTTAACAGCATGCAACGCAGCCGAGCAAGGTGAACCAAGCAGCAAAGTCATCGAAGTCGTACACTGTGTCTCCATGCCGAATGGAATTCACTTTCACCACAACAGCGGCCGTGCCACACATACCTGAGTGGCACAGTACCACACACACTCCCTCCTTTTCCGAAGCCACTTTTTTGTGCTGGCTCGATCCTTCTTCAACCCGACTTTCAGGGCTACCCTTCGCATCCGATTTTGCACGTGTGCCCGAAGGTTTCGGCTTCTTCCCCGGGTTGGGGCTCGTCAGGTCCCATTGCGCCGTGGCTGCACACCAGAACCGAGGCTCTGTCGTCGCGAACCTGACAAATCAGTGATACCTGACGCCCACGGTCGCGAGGATATAGATTTTTGCCGAAGCCACAGAGACGGACAGAGAGGGAGAGAGACAGAGACCGGGAAATGCAAGCTCGAAGGAAGAGGCATTTTGCAGGCGTGCAGAAGACAGAGGACCCGTCGCGGGCGCACGGCAACGCGCGAGTGCAAGGCCGACGGGTCACCTCCTGCACCTATGCCTACATGAAGAACAAGAAAGGATGGAAGTAATCAAGAATCGAATGAAAGGCCGCAAGTGAGGCCAAGCTTGCACCCTTTGCAGCCGGACTACGGGACTGCCTCTCCAAAAATAGATGGTTTTCTCCTACTTGACTGCTTGGCGAGCGGCCGATCTCTTTAAAATTGGAGATTTCCGCCTGGAAGTCAATCGGCCGCTCCTCGACGATCATCCCCCGATCTCGGGCCAGCTGTTGCAGCATGATATTTGTCGTGGACTGCAGGATGGTGTCTGACTTCGGCGTGATATAGCGCCCGTCCTTCCGTGACAAGTTGTAACTTCTTTATCACAATTCTTCTCATTCTCCTGCTTCACGTGTCCGGCTCCCTCTGTCGACATAGAGACAAAGAGCTACGGATCGAGAGAGAGAGAGAGAGAAAGGACCAGCAGCAGAACAGAGTCCAATCATGCGTTGGACTTAACCAGTCTCGCGAGTGGTCTAGAGTTGCTTGATTCACCCGCCCAGTCGACGTACTGCATGGCTGGTTAGGTGCTTGAAGCACTGATCTGCCTTGCTAGCACTGTCTTTAAGCCGCTCTAGCTGCTTGCCAGCAAAACTGGCGACTGCAAGTCCAAACGCAAGAGATGCAAGAGACGCATGATGTCGCATCGTCCTTGGTAATGCCCACGAAGTTGCACACGGAGAATTCCTCCACGTACTTCCGCTCCTTCGCATCGAGGTAGAGTGTTGTGTTGTAGCCCTGGGCGTGAGCGCCGTGGACGGGCGAGAGATCCGCCGCATAGTTTCCGGCTGCCTTGACGGCTCCCAAACCCTTCGGAGCAGCTCGATCATGGTTGGTGCTCACCAAGGCCTGCGGCGGCATCGGCGATTCCCGCACATCACCGATACCGCTACTGGTGGGAACATGAAGGTGACACGGAAAGACCTCCCGTAACGACGTGCCTTATTCCGAAGCATACCGGACATTCCGACTCGATCATACCCAAGAAGTAGAAAACACCGGCACGAAACACCGACGAAACCCTGGGCTTGCCATTGTGGAAGCTCAAGTCAGCGTGCGACAAGCTTGCCGGTTTGTTCTGAGCAAAGCTTCACTCCAGATGTGTAGATACCATATCTCTTCTGGTTCAACGCCAGAAACACTAGCCTCCTATGCCTCCTGTGCTAACAAGGTCAGGTGTCGAAGAGAAACGATCGTGCCCGCCTAGTGTACCACTTTACATTTTGCTTGACATCTTTTGCGCCACTCATCTCTCCGAGCGAAACATGGAACCACGCCTTGACTCCCACCTCGCTGCCTTTGCCAAAATATCCTCCAGCTGGGAGGACTGTCACGAAGAAGGTGTATTCGCTGGCCAAAGGTGCCAGCCCAAGCATCTGTCCGCTGGCAAAAAGCAGTGGGCGCACATACATCGAGGCATTGTTACCTCAGCAATCATGCCAGCCCAGAACTGGACACGCAAGGCAACCCTCCTGAACATTAGGTCTGAGACATCCTGTCGCGGAGGCAGTGTATTATGGCTCTACCAGGCTGCCGTAGGGAGGCACGAACTCCTTGTTGCGCTGCACTGCCTCCATCACTGCCGTAACAAACATGTCTGTGGGCACCTCAGGCATCCTTAGCTGCACGTTGAGCTATTGGTTCACTTCGCTGAACATCAGCCTCCAGCTTGCATTACCACATGCCCCGCGGGAATCGTCTGAACAAGGGATTGCCTCCAGGTGTCAAGAGGGCCCCTGCACCCTTCTGCATGCGCTGCGCATTGAGCTCTGGATTCAACAGACGAATCTTTCCGTCTTTGCAAGAGAAGGCCTTCGAATCACGGACAGACACTGCACGTACTGTGGGCTCTTCCATCCAGTTGCGCCTAAACGGTGACCCGCACCGGGCCTTCATGCCCTCAAAGCACGACACACCGTAGTGCAGAGCGCCTGCGTGTGTGAGTGTTTGCGTCAACATCAGGACGGCACACTCTTGTTTCAAGAAGAACGAAGTACAACAGCCACTGAACGAATCCAAGAGTCCTGCATTGATGTGCATAAGCTGATATGGAGCTGGCACGAACACTCCAGAGTCCCAGCTGCCGTCGGACCAAGTATACCTCAGCAGGGATCTCAAGGAGCCTAAAACCCAAACTGTCCCTTTTGAAGACTGTGCCACAGTTCTGGACAAGACACCTCACGTGCCCGTTCAGCGGGCGAATTGAAAATCCCAGGTTGTCCCACTTCTCTGCGAGGTCATTTCTCCTCGGCAGTTGAAAACCGCTGAAACCCAAAAGCGCTTTTGGGCTCCTCGACCACTCCGAATCACTCCGAGACCCGCACTTGGTCTTCCGGAAAACGGGGGTACTGTAGGCCTCTCACAGGACGGCACAGGACGGCAGAGGCATTTCGATCCATGAAGAACGTTCTGACAGGAGTGCAGATTCTGCTTCCGAGCTGCATATTGAGACCTTGGCCGAGCATGGAGTCTGTCACTCGTACCAAAACGGCTTCGTCATTTTTCGCACGTCCTCTCGGGCCCTGACCACTCGGTCGAGGAAAAACTGCGTCTGAAAACGCTGCACCTGGCAGGACAGCCAGGTCTCCGTGCTGCGCCAAAGGCACCTTCGCACGTCTTTGATCTCGGCCTGAGCACCCTGGAGGCGCTCGGAGCTCCTCGGAGCCTTTCGCAGCGAACACATAACTTTTCATACCATCTCAGTGCTTTTAGATTCGTTCAGTGCTGCCGCCGAGCTTCATCGCGGCCCGCTCTTGTGGTGTCCAGGGCGGTGCAGTCCGGACAGGGGCCCAAAACTTCAAACACTCGGGCTTACACAGCTGCTGGGTGGAACAGCAAGCTTGCAACACTGGCCGCCAGCTTCATTCAAACGAGGATGGAGCTGGTGTGCTAAACAAGTGCGCACCGATCACTCCCAAAGCAGATTCAAGCTTGCCAGGTTTGCCATATGTGGATGCGCAGCGTTGACAGCATCAAGGTTCGCAGCATGAAAGACCCTCTCTTTGGCGTTTGACATGATCACACGGCCTGTCGAGAGAACGAGAACTGTAAACATGGACGTTTGCATTGCTGCAAGAAAACACACTGCCTGCCTTGGGTCTGGAAGTGTAACCTGCAGCAACACATTGGAGAGCTTTTCACAAGTCCATATTGGATTCTACTGATCCTTCGAGAGGATCGGCATCTGCGATTTGCATTTCCCACCTCCAGGCTCAGAAACCGAGCTTCGGGGGACTGTCGCTTGAGCCCAGCTGCCGCAGAAAAAAGTGAACGCGCCAGTCTTCCCCAGCCCGAGCTTCCCCTGCAGTCCTAAGGAAACTTTGTACGGCACGGGTATCTTCGATGAGGTGCTGAGAGATCGCAACCCCAGCTGTACCGAGCGGACACGTACGAAGTGGCATCAAGGCGTGGGGGAGCCTAGCGCGCGACGAATGCGTTTCGAAATGTATGTCGGGATAAGAGTGCTGACATCATCTACCTATATCAGGCAAGACCTCAGCGGGGCTCCACAGTGCAACGGATCTTTTGAGCTCCGGCAATAGACCGCGAGGTGTGTCTACAGCCACAAGCACCCCGTCTGCCTGCCAGTGTCCTGGAGTTGTTCAGGCGCTGCAGATAGCAACCATGCTTTGTAGCAGGTGCAGACATTTCGACCTTCTCACATGCACTCATGCACAAACTGAAGCTGATTAGGCCGGGCAAGACATGTGCTGCAGGCATTATCGACAGCAGATACAAAGCTATCTCCCACTCTCTGCCTTTGTCGCATGCACTGATACCGGAGTTGAAACTGATTTCATCGGCCATAACTCGTGCTGAAGGCATTTGGCACAGTAGGTGTAAGGCCATCTGCCACTCGCTGGCTTTTTCGCAGGCGCTGATGCCGGCATTGAAACTGATGTCGTCGGGGACAAGCCGGACCGCAGGCATGTGTGACAACAGGCACAAGGCAACTTGCCATTTGACGGCCTTCTCACAAGAGCTTATGCCTGCGCTGAAGCTGATAACTGTGGGTAAGATTCCGGCATCAGGCATTTGTGACAACAGGTAAACAGCCATCCCCCAGCCATGGCCCTTCTCACATGCGCTGATGCATGCGTTGAAGCTGATTTCGTTGGGTACCACTCGTTCTGAAGGCATTTGGCACAAGAGGTTTAATGCCATCTGCCACTCACCGGCTTTCTCGCATGCGCTGATGGCTGCATTGAAACTGATTTCGTTGGGCACGACTCGTTCTGCAGGCATTTGCGCCAACAGACACAAAGCCGCATGCCACGGTGACAGAAGCCCCTCCCCGCCCTTCTCACATGCGCTGATACCCGCATTGAAACTTATCACGCCCGGCAACAGCTGATCTGCAGGCATTCGAGACAATAGCAACAGGGCCAACTGCCATTCACCAACCTTTGCACATGCAGTGATGCCTGCATTAAAACTGACTTCATTGGGTACTACGCGGGCTGCAGGCATCTGCGACAACAGGTACAGGGCCATCTGCCATTCACCGCCCCTCTCACATGCACTGATGCCTGCATTAAAGCTGATCTCGTTGGGCACCACTCGCATTGCACCCATGCGCGACAAGAGAAACATGGCCATTTGCCACTTTCCACCTTTGTCACACGCAGTGATGCTTGCATTGAAGCTGATTTCATCGGGAAACACCTGGAATGCAGGCATGCGTGACAGAAGGCACAAAGCTAGTTGCCATTCGCCAGCCTTCTCGCACGCGCTGATGCTCGCATTACAGCTAATCACGGCAGGCAACACTTGGACTCTAGTCATGTGCGACAACAGATACAATGCCTGTTGCCATTCCCCACACTTCTGGCACGCGCTGATGCCGGCATTGAAACTTATCACTGTAGGTGCCACATGTTCCGAAGGCATTTGCGACAGGAGATGCAAAGCCATCTGCCAGTTTCCACCCTTCTCACATGCACTGATACTTGCATTGCAACTGATTCCATTAGGAAACACTCGGGCTGAAGGCATTTGCGACAACAGATAAAGGGCCATCTGCCATTCGCCCCCTTTCTCACACGCACTGATCCCCGCGTTAAAGCTTATTTCGTTGGGCTCCACTCGCCTTGCAGGCATGTGCGCCAACAGACACAGAGCCACCTGCCACTTACCCGCCTTTTCACATGCACTGATGCCCGCACTGAAACTGATCACGCCAGGCTGTAACCTTGCGGCAGACATTTGTGATAAGAGCAACAAGGCCATCTGCCATTCGCCGTCTTTCTCACATGCACTGATGCTCGAATTGAAGCTGATGTCATCGGGCAACACTCGTTCTGAAGGCATCTGTGACAACAGGTACAAGGCCAACTGCCATCGGCAGCCCTTCTCACATGATGTGATGCCAGCATTAAAACTGATTTGAGTCGGCACCACCCTGGCGGAAGTCAGTTGTGACAACAAATACATGGCCATCTGCCATTCGCCAACCTTGGCACATGCAGAAATGCCTGCATTGAAACTTACTTCATTGGGCACTACTTTAGCTGCAGGCATCTGCGACAACAGGTACAAGGCCATCTGCCATTCGTAGCACTTCTCACAGGCGCTGATAGCTGCACTGCAACTGAAAACGTTTGGCAATACCCCGTGGGATTGCATGTCCGCGAGGAGCTGAAGGGCTTTCTGCCATTGCAGTCCCTTCTCACAGGCAGTGATGGCAGCACTGAAGGTGTAGACGTCTGGAGCGTCTGTGGCCAGGAAGTCAGTGAGGACTTCCAGCGCGGTTTGCCAGTGCCTGGCCTTCCCACAGCACGAAATTGCCCTGCAATGCGCCCCATTGTGATCCTCGCGGAGCTCTCGCAGCTCCTGCAGCAAACGAAAGGCAGCCTGCCACTCTGCTTCACGCATGGCTGAAACCGCTCGCAGATGCCATCTCTATGGCTTACAGGGCTTACCGAGCTTACGCTGGGACGGAGAAGAGAGTATACTACGACTCGACCCTATTCATGCTGCTCTATAGTCAAGAAGTTCTGCACTTGCATCGCTGTTCTCTCAGCCTTTGCACAGCTCGTAGCTTGTCAGCGTCTTTGCGCAGGATAGTTGCATCCGCTGTCACAAACCGACAAAAAAAAAGACCGACTTTGTTGCTCAGCAAATCCACATCTCTGCGCAACATAGACCCGTGCCGCTGCCGCTCTCGCAACACAGGTTTTTCGGTCTGCCTCAAATGGAAGAACACGTTTTGCTTCGAATGTTTTTAGCTCAAGAAAAAGATCGAGTGCTGCGCACTCTGTTTTTCTTGTTAGTGGACTTCTGCGCCACGGTCTCGCCTGTGCAAGGTTGAGTTGAGAGTTCTCCCAAAAGGTACCACATCAAGACCCCGGTTTCGAGGACACGCGTTGTAGATGTTGTCTTGCAGGCTTATGATCAGGTCGAAACGATGATCAAGAAATTGAGAGTTGACCTCCAAGTTTCGGAAGCTGAGAGTGTGGAATGAGTGCAGGAGGTGCCGTGGTCACTACATGCATACCATACCCTCTGACTCGAACCACCATGTACAAACGTACTTAGAGTATTGTTCAGAGGAGCGCGTGTGTCAGAGGGGAGAATG